AGTCACTATGAAAAAGCTATTGTGATTGTTAAACATGTGATATATTTTTGAAAATAAAGTTTGTGAAGATCAGATCGTAAGGTGTAGTTTGTGAAATTTATTTATTCATCATATATGAACTATTTGTATATGAATCTTCTGGTGCAGCACTGGATAATGAATCAAAAACGCTTCAATATATCACTCCTCCATTCTTATTAAAAAAAAAAACAAAGAAATTACACCACTCCTTAAAGTTGAAGATTTCTCGATGGTTCCTAAGTCGAAACACATCTCCCTCACAAACAAAACTGACGTGTTTTTGAATTTTTGCAAAAAGTTTTTTTCTTATCAGTTTTGCTTCAAGTAGGTTTCGATGGTCTTTCAAACGTCCACAGTCATCATACTTATGCCAGTAAATTCAGACTGATCATTTTGAACTATCACAGAAATCAGGTATGACAAAAATTCAAACCAAGTTCAACTGGATTGAAAGGTATTATATGATTCCGGAGAATTTATTCAACTCACCCATTCAACCCGTTCAATTTTCAAAATATTTCATCTAGTCCAGTAAATCAACTTACCCTTCACTCATCTGTTACTGTGATGTGTTGGTCAAAATAATTTTTTGTTTTTGAAAGCAATGTCCTTTTTTTACGTAATTCTTTACAAAATGTACAAGCTGTGTACAACATTTTTGTCACACGACAACCAAGATTATATCGATAACCATGTACAATTATCAGAAAAGAACTGTCATAATTCAAAACTAACTTGAAAAATACGTACTGTGCGCCTCGTCTTATTAGTAGAAATACATTCATGGTTATAAATACTACTCTGTTACTCTGAACAGTAATGAGTCATCTACCGGACTTATAACGTGAAATAACATTTCGGCCCTGTTGAATTATATGTTATTTTTCTATTTCCTTACGATAATCTTCAATTTCATCCATCTACCAATTTCTCTGTATTGAAATATATATGCCAAACAATTCACTGGGAGAAGTACCTCCCAATATTAGAATATTGAGATAGAAAAATTCAAAAAGTAGACACTTCTAAGACCGTCGTTTTGTAATTCATGATTTCGTCTCACAAGAAACAGGTTTCTATATCGTTCGAAAATGTTAATTTTGTCGTTCTTTCCCCTGTATGCCGGTCCCTTATACCTTGTTTTGCCGTCTCTCTCACCTGTAGGAACAGAAAAAGAAAAACATTAAAGTCGTTCTGCGATGAAGTGAGCTTATTTATCTCCAAACATTTTTGATACCCAATTAGGATGGGTAACATACGGTAATAGCAATGCCAAAAGAGACTTCAATAAAAGACGCATTATAGCGAGCGATTTTCTGTTGTGGAGCGAATTCGTTGTAGGCAAGTAGCACAATCTCGAAATAACGAGTCACTCAGCAGAATGGTTATGGAACTGTTTGTGTTTGACTGTACAGAGTATTTATGTATAAAAAACATATCAAAGAAAATTCAATGAATTTGAATCGTGTGACCGGAGTTCTAGGAATCTAGCTCAGAGGATGGAATATAAATTTGGAATACAAGGTATTTTTCCCTATCAGTAACTGGGACAAATGAGCTGTTTTTTCTTCGAATACGAAACAAAGATTATTTCATTAGCTAGGAGTTAGACACAATTACCAATTCTATAACAACTGGAATTTAAATTGGACGATATTTCAAAAGATGTACTGATCTCAATAGGGTATTTATTTTATATTCGAAATGTCTACAGTTCTTTTGGAAATTAGATTAATTTCTGATACATGACTACAACTACATGGTCGTCAACGTGAAAAAAGTTTGTTTGTATTGATTGGACAATTAATATACATTTTCTGCCAAACTTTTGAATGGTGATAAAATAAATATAGTCTCCAACAGAGGGCGGGTAGTTGTTTCAAAGTTAAGAGAAAATTTGTAGTAATAATTTCAAAATCCTCGTGATGTTAAACACCTGGCTATATGTCTAACCCACTAGGTAGGAAACCACATCAACCAGCGAAGTTATCAGTACTTTAGAGGTTAGTGATCTTCCATCTTGCACGAAAGATCATTCATATGACCGTAGAAGAATTTTTGTCTGAGCAATATTCAGATTCAAATCTTATGAGAGATATATTCGTTTGGAATGGAACAAAGTTGCCTATTTCAGAATACTATTGACAGAAATAAAATTTCAGTTCTTCTAGTAATTTAAATGATAGGTCCATAATTGAAAATTTCAGAGAACCAGTTACGCAATACCTTATGTAGTATATCAATCAACATATTCCAGTAGCATATTTCAGTAGAATATAAAAGTTACAATTTCCCATATAAATGCGGAAGTCACTCAAACTCACTCATTCATCTCTGTTTCTCTATACTGGTAAGTCCTAGGGAGCTAAAATTTGGCATATAGGTGATTCTTGAGTTTCAAATGTCCACTAAAAAATGGTTCTCAAATTTTCCAACTGGAGCACTCCCCGTGGGGGTATAAGTGGCGCGTTTACATATAGAAATTACATTTTCATCACTGTTTCTCCGTATAGATATATTTTCGGAAGCTGAAATGTTGTATGTAGGTTCTTCTTATATTATAGATGTGCAATAAGAGAAGATTTTCATATATTTGTATTTACTATCAGCATTGCACTCGTGCGCAGTCGTGGTGGTTTGCTAGTCCCCTACGACTAAAGGAAATTTATTGATTTTCAATTTGAATTCGTGAAACGAAAAACCTAAAATCGATTTGCGGTAATAATACTCTGAAATAGGTAACTGGTTCTTAATTTAAGCGAATGTGCAACTTCCATTGCATCATTCATGAAATCTCTAGGACCCAAGTTAGAATAGCCAGTTATCAGAAAATAATCAAAACAGGGTGGTGGCATTCAGATTTGTTGGGAGTGTCATACCCCTCCTAACCCCTATAGTTTTTTTTTACTTCATCATTCATGAAAATTTTTCTCTTTTTCGTAAAAGGGTCAGATTTAGAAGGTTATGTTACTAGCCACTCAATGTATCTCCGATACGTCGTCACATACAGATGCAGATAAATCTTCCTCTATCAGAAGAATTGTTCACGTTTATCAGTTGAAAGTATGTAATACCTATCGTCACTATATTGCCGGAGAAGAGAAACGACAATTCATGCAATTGGAAACAAATCCAAATTGTATTTCTGTCGTCCCTTAGAAGTACATTATAATCTAATAGATTTCATTAGTGACCATGAATCAATAACATCATCATTTCTCATCACTTGAAAATGAGTAGCCTGGTGATATACGAGTACACTACATATTGAAAATTCATTCTGGAATATTTTACCCAATCTATTTCAGATGTAGCATATGAATTACAAAAACAAATGAATATCAATTTCAAAGATCACTGTACTATTAATAATAACCTCAATATATTATCGATTGCTTTAGGACATAAATCAACGAGGCTCCCAATCCTCTTCATATGCTTGGTTCGAATGAAAAAAATCCTACTAACAAACTATATTGTGAGACAACCCTCAAGTGTTCATATAATAAGTATATTGAAAAAGATTCCGACAGATGAAGTCATTATATTATATATTCGAATTTATATGATTAACAAAATGCTAGTCTCAATTATAGAATGCCAGATACAATTAGATATATTTCAGGGTTGTAACAACACCTCGTCTCCGTTTCGACAACTGCGGAGATTTCACATGAAACGGCCCTCTTCAGCCGCATCCGAATATTTTTTAACGAAGTTTTACAGAGTTCTATTTATGAAGGGTGGAGTCATTTTGCAATGCGAAGCCGCAAAATCAGTTCGTAACTTGTCGTGTTCATAAATTTCATCCATAAATAAAATAGATTATTGAACATTTTTTTGAATATTTGGCTTCCTTGAAATCTCAAAAGTTTTGAAAAGAAAATAAAATATTCATTCATAGAAGAAATTCATATATGAAGATAATTTTTTAACAAACTTCATAAGGATTTAATAGCCGTGAAGTAATCCAGTTTTACGATAACTATATATATATATATATATTGCCCGAGACAAGGGCAAAAGGATTTAATAGCCGTGAAGTAATCCAGTTTTACGATAACTTTGAAACGCCAGTGAGAAATATAACAATGTAACAAAGGAGCCTCCAGACTATATGATATGGATGAAACCGGTATATATTCTCTCTGTGGAGGAAAAAACAAGTGGGCATGATTACAAGCGCAGAACGCGGCCAATTGACAAATGTCATTGGCTGTTGTAATGTAGGTGGTAGCTTTCTTCCACCTTTTTTAATTTTTGCCAAAAAGAAGATGCAGCCGAGACTTCTTGATGAAAGTCCGTCAGGGACTCAAGACACGTGTACTCCTAATGGTTGGACATCAGGCGGAGTCTTCTTGAATTGGATGCATTTTTCCGTAGAGCAAGTGAGGCCAACAGCAGACAAAAATGTCCTGTTGATACTAGACAACAACAAAAGTCACAAATATTATCCTGCACTTGAGTACGCAACCAAGAAAAATGTGTTGATATTATCATTAGCACCACATATTATCCACAAAATGCAACCGATGGATGTTGCTGTATATGACCCACTTATAACGTATTTTGAAAGGGAGACCAACATTATTCAAAAATCTCACCTTGGCCGCGTCATTAACCAGTACGATGTAGCTAGATTGCTAGCACCATTTTTCTTAAAACTGCGGTGAATTTTAACGTCTCGGAGTTTGGCCCGTAAACAAGCATGCTTTTGGTGATCACCACTTTGCACCAGCCGAAGTACTTGCAGGTACATCCAATTTGAATACTCAGTCAGAAACTCTGCCCCCACCGAAAAAAAACTATTTTGCCCGAGTCCATCATTCAAGCGTCATCATCAAATGGATCTCAAGATCAACCCAGATCACTTTCTTTGATGAATGCCACCCAACAAACTGATTCAGTCATAAACCCTCTTGGAAAAGAAAATTCACCGATTTTAGAATCCATTAATCCTTTACCTGTTTCGTTGTCAGATGAAGTTGAAGTTCTAGATCATTTTCAGTCTCAAGACGACGACTTTAACATGGAAGACCGTCCTTGCACTCCTACGGAATCCAAATCTACAAAAAAGAATCTAGGCGATGGTGTTCCAGCCACTTGATCCGAACATGAAACTACTTCATTTTCAAGATATCAACACAATGTTGCCATTGCAGACCGTCTATATACTCCCATGTGATCTGATACAATAAAAGAAGTCCAAGGCAATGATATTTCCGCCGCTTCACCCAAACCTGGATGTTTTTAGAACTAATATAGTTCTTCAGTTTTACGACCTATTCCTCAGCCTGCTGAACCAATAATAACACGTGAACGGAAACTTCAGAAATGTATACTTCTGACAAGTACTCCAGTGAAGGAAGATCAGAAACAAAAATTTGAAAAAGCAAGAAAGACTGTCATGAAGTCACTAGATGATATTTCGACTGAAGCTTCTCAGAAGACTGTTAAAAAGACTTCTAACAAAAAAACTGTTGAATCAAAAATCTCTGCTACAAAACATAAGACTACAGAAGAGAATAACAAGGACAAGGAAGTAACGAAATTTGATGATGTAATGTGCATTTTCTGCGGTGAAATGTCGTATTTGTACTCAGTAGTGTCATGAAGAGTGTTCCGCATTATAATCCAACGCCCTTCGTGGTATTAGCCAGGGGAGTAGTTGATTTTTGATAGGTGTCAGTCCATTAACCTCCAATTCTTTAATGAATGAGACATTTATAATTCAGCACTCCACTAGTTTTGACGTATATTTTTTCTCACTGCTGTGTGAGATTATTTTCATAATAGGAAATCTATATGAAATTTATTATGAATTGGAATATACAGTGCTTCATTTCAAAACTTCCCACCCCTAGTACTTCATTCAGCAGAAAGAATTTGCCGTAGGCAAAAAACACGTCAATTTAGATATCGAGGGGGAAGTTTAAAACCAATGCCAGTGGTATTTTAGGTTTAACCTCCTTACCCTCAGCTACCTCCACTTAATAATTTTAAATGGCACTCCTTATCTTGTAATACATAATTTTAAAGATATTAAAAATCCTCATTCAACCCCGTTTAGAAAATTGAAATTGGTTGATCCGTTCTCGTAAAATAGGACAAAAAGGAAATGGATTATAACAAAATGCAAAAATTTATGGAACTGCTACCACTGACTCAATAACAGCATATTCATGTCTCTTTTTTACACAGAGTTTTTTGCTTCAGTTGAAAGTGAGATAAGGGCACCCAGTTGCTTCTTGGCGTCAGTTACAATTAAATGGTGAAAACATTTATCAGAATTAGTTATTCCTGATTTTGGTGTCAGTTGCACTGACAATAATACAAATCGTAATGGTCTACACTTTACTCGAAAGAACTGAAATTATTTTTATTTGTGGTGCTGAAGATAGGTGTGCTCGTAGGACGGCCCGGGTTTTTAATGAAAGGCATGCATGCCAAAATGTGAGTCACCGATATGTTCTAGATCTTGTTCAAAAATTTGAAGAGACTGGTTCTGTGTGATACAAAGCAGTAAAGCAGCCCAGAGTTCTTACGGAAGCCGCACAGATTGAGATTTAAGGCCAATTCGCGTTGAGTCTACTACTTCAATTTCGAAAGTCGCTAAGTTAGTAAATTTTTCAGTTGGTTCTATACACAAAGTTTTAAAACTGAACAAGTTCTTTCCTTACAAAATGAGTATTCTTCAGCAACTCAGTGAGGATGACTATGATAGTCTATGATGTATCTGGATGTGAGTATTCAATAACAAAATATGAATTCAGGAATTTTTTTTTTTCAGTTTCCAAATGGTTAAGAAATTTCTACAGGATTTTTGAAAACAGAAAATGGATTTATTTATAGCTGTAATAGCCCACTGAAATATAAAACTACTTTAAAACAAAAATTAATTTATTCATGAATTTTGATGGTTTCTAGGCATTTACAAGGGCACCAGCAATTATCACAATCTCATCCAACACATTCCATATATTCAAATTGAGGCAGGCATTTGGTTTCAATATTTTGAATTCCCTCAATCGCCTAATGACTCTTTCAATATGAATTCTTAGTGATGCAGTCCTCTTTGCTTCTTTCACTTGTTATTCAGCTGATGGAACATTATTTTATACATTTGATTGCCTAATTTTTTGCTGTGCAATCTTTGTGAAATCTTTGAACCCTCCTAAACTGTAATAGGCATCATCTAGTCTAATTCTTTTGAAACTAATTAGAATGTCTCTGTAGGTTATCGACTCATGTTCAATAATGAGATGCATCAAATGTTGAATTTTTTGAGGTAGACCCAAGTAAAATTCGGAATTATTTTCAATTACGTAAACTGTTGATCCTCTTCTTTCCTTAGTATTCACAGATCTTTCATATCTTATGATCTCTTCATCTACACTAGATGAACTGCTTATGAAATCTACATCTGTCTTTGATGATTCACTTGGAGATACATTCAATTTCGTATAACCTTCAATATCATTCTTTGAATGTTCTTTGATAGTTCTCTGACTTTGGATGAAGATTATGGCTGTGGTGGAAGGAATCTGAGAGATACAGAAATGTTTATACATGGAGACGGATTTACTAACAGTACTCCCGAATTTACAGGTTCCATATATTTATGAGGCACTACATTTTCTTCAAGTTTGAGTATTCTTCCTTTAACAATTGTGATTTGAGTATTTTCTTCTTTTGTGACTTCAGTTTTCCTGAGATTGTACAACAGATATATTAACTAATATATGTTGTTTGTTTTCAGACCGTATTCGAAGTCTTTATGTTTGTTTGTTCAGCGATATTCTTCGTCTCAGATGAGTTCTGGAAAATATGAAACATGATTTGATGGAAAGAACAAACAGATAATGGTCATTTGAGAAATCTTTTATTGTAACGGTATTTTGAACTTACGAATTGCCTTACTCATTTAAACTGTGCTAGGTTCATATTCTTGGGAATAATAGTGGACATCATTGTCTAACAGATGGTAGCCAGTTGGCTAACGTGAGTGGTTTGTTCTACTAATCAATCGATACCTATATGAATATTGACTCTATTTCAACTGTGGAAAGTTGAGAGATGAGTCCTCGTTAGTTCTCAGCTCGCACTAGTTTCGACTTCTCGGAGTTGTTATAACACTTTTTTGAACAATGTATTGAGAAACATATAAAATATTTGTTGAATATGCAAGTTTTGTTTCAGTGATACATAAAAAATCCTGATCCAATTTCCATTTTTGAAGTATCATCCGAATGATAACATTTTTGAAAACAATCAATTCAGGTGAATCATGAAGCAATATCGACATCAAAATGTTATTTTAATGTTATTAGGTGAACAGAATGACGAATATCCAAAAAAGAATGGTTAAATAACCCATTCCAGTTTACAAAACCGAAACCGACCTCACCAACCTCTCCCAGCTTCCCATATGTGGAGATGCTGGTGGAATGAATTCCCAAGTAATGTTCTTGAAGGAAAAGAAACCCAAAATTTCAGTATTGTCTATGTCCTTGACAGCTTCTCTTGATTCTCCATTGGCAGAATGCATGTTCGTACCGTTATCTGAGTAAATTTCTTTTGGACATTCACGTCGACTTATAAATCTTCTGATCACCATGATAGCGGAGTCTATATGTAACGAATTTGCCATATCCAGATGAATCGCTCGTACGCTCATACAGGTAAATAGTAATTCATATCGTTTTTCATGTTTTCTGCCAACTGTTACGGAAACAGGCCCAAAGTAGTCCATTCCAGTGATAGTAAATGGCCTGACAAAACCTTGAAGACGACACTCCGGTAACTGACACATTTCAGGTATGTGGGGTTGTATTTTCCTTTTCTTGCAGAAGGAACAAGAACTGTTGCATTTTAGGACAGCACTTCTCATTCTTCAAATCCAAAATTTCTGTCACAGCTCATTCATAATAATTTTCTGTCCAAATTTTATGTGATAGCTCTCAATTAGAAGTTTCGTGAGACGGTGTTTTGGATCAAGAACATTTTACAGTCTTCCTCCTATTCACAAAATACCTTTTTCGTCAAGTATTGGCATAAGGGTATGTATTCGGTTTGATTTTTCAACAGGTTTCCCATTGTGCAAAATTGAAATTCCGTGAAAGAAGCTGACTTTCTGACTATACTTGATCAGAGCTTCCTCAGCAAAATCTTACTCTTCCGCATCTAAATTCGTTGTATTCCTCGTTCATTTTCAACAGTATTTCATGAAGTGAAACATCTAGGCAGTTGTTGATACTAACCTTCCATATTTGGAGAATCTTTCGATATTTGGCAGATACATGTCTTTTAATGTAACTGTCTTTATTTTCTCTTTCTTTATTTCCATTTCAATTTCATATATTTCTTCTTGTGCCTATTTTTGCCAGTAATATTCAGGAAGTTTCAGAATGTTCGGCCCTGTCAGCCATTCGTTTTTGTTTGCGGTATTATCTTCTCTGGTAATTTCATCTGCTACATTCTCATCTCCAGGAACCCTGTGCCAATGAGATACGTTAGTGATGTCTGTAATTTTCGCAATCTTTACCGATACAAAAGTTTTGTATCTTTTAGATTTGGAACGAATCCAGTGCGGAACAATACTTCATGTCCATAAATGAGTTGAAGTAATATGTATTTCAATGTTTTTTTGATAGTGCTCATGAGTCTGCTCAACATAATCGCGACTTGTAACTCCAATCTGTGTATGGTCATCGGTTTTATAGGTGCCACTCTTGGTTTAGCAATTACGAAAAATAATTTGAATTTTTCATCGTATTCAAATCTCAGATAAAAGACAGCTGAAAAAGCTTTCTCACTGCTGTCACAAAAACCATGTAGTTCAACATATTTGCTTTCATACAATCCCATACCATAGCATACCGATGGACTCGCACCATTAATTTTTGTCAATTCGCGTAGGAGTTTCCATCTTGATGTTCATTTCCGTAAATAACTCATCGTCCCAGGCTATTCTAATCCTTCATAAGTTTTGCATGAAAATTTTGAATTTTACGACCAGTGGGGACAGAAAACCTAACGGGCCAAATACAGACATGCCACCCTTCAAAATATCTCGTTTCGTGGGAATCTTGGCTCTGTTTAAGATTT